TAAGAGACTTCACTTCCTCTGACTATCACCCAGTAAACACAACATAGTTTCAGACTGGCATACATCTCTGAATAGAAATCAAGGAAATTTTCTCTTGAAAATAGAATTTGTGTTCCAATTAAAATGTTTATAACTTCTTTTTTTTTTTTTTTTGGCTTTTTGAGACAGAGTCTCCCTGTGGCCCCAGCTGGCCTGGAACTCACTATGTAGACCAGGCTGGCCTTGAACTCACAGAGATCCACCTGCCTCTGCCTCCCAAGTGCTGGAACTACAGGCGTGCGCCACCACTCCCGGCATAACTTTTAATTTTTACAAATTATTTTATCTAGAGAAAGCCCTAAATCTTCCTTATATTTAGCTTGAATTATCCCCAAATAAAGTATTATATAAAAGGGCAGTGATGATAAAACATCCAGACAGTATTGTTTATATTCAGCATATACACATGATCAAAATTCTTCCTTTTTAAGGAGTACATACTGTACTTTCATTCAAGCAATTTATTGTTAATGTTCACTGGTGTTAACCACTGTTCAGCTCACAAAAGCTGTTTATGTTTAATTATAGGATCATCCATAAGAATGGCTACAGTAAACAAGAATGCATGGAGTTCAAAGCAGTGGTTTACAGTAATACCTTGCAGTCCATCCTAGCCATTGTGAAAGCCATGACTACACTTGCCATTGATTATGTGAATCCCAGAAGCCCAGTGAGTATTCATATGTGATTGTTACAGGGTCTACAATGAAGTGTGAACTACAAAGTCATAGGGTTAGGTCTGTAGTTCTAATCTTTGTCAAAAGAACATGAAACAATTTTATAAATATTAACTCTCTTCAGGTTGAAATTTCTTATTTTACTTTGAATAAAAACTGTCTTATTAACTATATGCTATAATTTTAGTAAACATTAACTGTTTTCTGGGGATCAAACTTATTATTACATATACAACAATACCAGAAAGAAAAAAAAAATGACTCTTTGCTAAATACTAAAAAATATTTTAGTGAATAAAAATCAATTTTCCATATCTCTACAATTACTTTGTTGCATTAATTATGAATTATTTCCTGGAAATTTTAAAAATTAATAGTAACAACACAGTGAAATGTTTGTTCTAGAATGTTAACTTTAAAAAACTTTTCTTTTTATCAAATTTTTTGAGATAGAATCTCACTCTGGGTCTCAGGCTAGCCTAGAACTCACTATGTAGCCCTGTGTGGCTTCTATCAGTCCTCCTGGTTCAACTTCCCACATGCTACGCTTTTGGGTATGAGCCACCATGCTCATTTGTAATGTTAAATTATTTAGAATACAATTCAAAATTATGGGAGTAAGAAAATGTTGAGCTGTTAGATAGCAGCTAAATGAATTTATTTCTCTCTATTTTGTTAATTAGTTCATACAATGCATTATAAATATACCTTTTAAAGGTTCATATAAAAATTATATCTATTATTTTGGTTCATTTATTTAACAATATTTCAAGGACAAGAACTCTGCACTTGATCTTCAGAATCCATAAATGAGCAAAACATTAAAATCCCTGTCCTCATATGTCCATAGACTAAAAATAGATTAAATAAATGGAGAAAAGGCACTGATGAGTGCTAATAAATGATATGAAGAAGAGAAAAACAGGAAAAACAGGGTGTACTGAGAAAATAGAAGAAAGGGTGGAGAAAGCCACCTTAAAAAGTAGTGCTGTGAAGAATCAGAACAAAACTGGAGAGTGCCACAGGAACCACCTGAAAGGAACCCTCAAAAGGGGCTCATGAGGTCATGGAGCGACAGGAGTCTAAGGAATCAAAGTTTAAGGAACAGATAAGGAGAGAAACAGAGGCAGAGGAGAAACAAGGAGGAAAGACTAGAAAGGGAGATGTGGGTCAAACGTAGAGAGTTTTGTGAATCATAATGAAAGATTGTAGTTTTGAGTTTGGTGGAAAATATTGAAAAATTTTTTTTAACACAGGAGTAAAATAACCAGTGGAATCTCCATTTTCCATAAGTGAACTGCTCCCTGGGGTTAGCTTTTCAAAATACTATAAATCGTGATGTTATATATTTTAAAAATTCAAATCTAAATAGCAAACTCATAGTCCTAAAAGTGAATATTAATTGTTGAAATTATATGTCTTTATTACTATATAAGATCATCAAAAATTGAAACATACTGCATTCAACAAAATGTTGTTTATGGTTCAGAAGGAGCAAATATCAACTCTCTATTACCAGCAATTCTAAAGAGATTCCAGCATTGGAGGGCAGCACTCACAGAACCTTGACCAAAGAACAATCTTCTGGGTGGGAAGGTCTTCCTCTTCCAGGACTTGACCAGCAAAGATTCTATCTCATTTGTTTGGCTTAAGGGTCTGGCATGAGTACTTTTATGGTTACTCCATGTGGGGCTGGAGAGATGTCTTGGTGGTTAACAGCACTGGCTGCTCTTGAGAGGACCTGGGTTTGAATCCCCAGCGCCCACATGGGAACTAACAACCGTCTGTAACTTCCAGGGGATCTGACATCTTCTTCTGACCTCTGCTGCATTACACGACATGAGTAACTTACATAAATGCAGGCATAACACTCATACACATAATATAAAAATTAAAAAAATATAGATTACCCCATGTGCTTCTACCATGTAAATCACTAGGTGCTTTACCTATGCCTGAGAGCAGAAAACACAAAGGTAGAGACAGAATTGAGCTGATCAGGTCAAGGAGGGTTTGATAACATTTAAATGTTTTAAGTAAAATTCCACTCACAATACAAGGACAAACAAACTGTGTTTCAATTCAAAATGGAATAATTCAGAAGAAAAGAAAGCGCATGTTAGTTTGGCTATAAAGGAATGTAACAGAGCAAATGCAAGTGCTCTGCTCTTTCAGGGATGAATTCTGGGAGCAGCTGTCTCCTCACACCATTTGTCCTAAAGGCATTTTAACACTGGAAGAAGCCACCTACAACAGTGATGGGATCTTATTTCACTGGATTGGCAGTCTCTCTCTATTTGGGAAGAGGGAGGTTAAATTTTATCCTGAAAGATGAATAAAACTTCTTAGCTTTAACACTCTTTAATAATAAGAGATATAGTATTAATATTTGTGCAAAGAAAATAATTTTGATAGATGATAGAATAAATCTATAGTTGATCAAAGATAATAGTTGATTCAGAAAGGCAGTGGATTCTTACTGAACATACTTCACTCCCAACAAGCCTCATGCTACACAAAATCTGCTAGTCTTTGACTCCAATTCTGATACTTGTTACATTTATTGATTTGATAAATGAACACTGAAAGTTCTATACCCTATACATGTAAGTGGGAACATTGTAGAGTCTCAGTTGTTGTGAGAATTGTGAGTTCTTACCTGTGCTATATTATAAATTGTTCTAAAAAAATTTCACTAGGATATGGTTATAGTGGGCAGAACGTGAGTTTTGGATAATACCATCCAGGATTTGAGCCCAGGTAGCTCCGTTTGCCTGAGCTAGTAACACAATCCATTTAACTAATCTGAAACTCAAATTCTTAATTTAAAAAAATGCTTTGTGTCAAAAAAATACCTTTTGATTACCACTTTAAATAAATTGTGGTCTACTATAACTTCTGTAAATTGAGATCATCTGTTTAGTAAACTTAATAAACTGTCCTCCCTCATTACTTCCCAGTGTCATCCTGCTTTGCACTGACACAATATTTGCTTTATTTTTTATTTTCATATGTATTGGGAAGATGACAGTTGATATTCTGAATGATGAGAAAATTAGGAAATTCTCCCCTTGGTTTTCTTTTTATTTATTTATTTATTTATTTAGAGGGCCGGGTCTCACTGTGTAGCCCAGACCGATCCAGAGCTGGGAGACCTGGCTCAGCCTC